TATTAGGAACATTTAGCGCTTTTACAATGTAGATTGTGTCAAAGTAGTTTAACATAGAAGTTCTAGTAAATTGAAACTTTGTCAGTCCAGTTTTCAGAGTTGAAGTCCAGTTTAGTTCAATTCAGTATGGTTTAATTTGCCCTGCTGAAAGTCCAAACACTGAAGAACAAATCCATCGATGTGCAGTTGATAACCATTTTACCAGAATAAAAGTAACTAGTTCTTGGAGTAATTTTTTCATCTGAAACTTTTTTACTTTTACTTGAGTAACTTTTAAGATTGATGCTTTTACTTTTACTTGAGCAAAAAAAATTGTATACACTACCCACCTCTGGTTGTACAGAGAACTGTGGTTTGAGCTCGGTGATGCACAGTTCCACAAAAGAGATAAAAGCGAAGTAAGTTAAGGTAAAACTATTTGAAAGGTTTGATTTTAAAAACGCTGTTGGGTTTAGGTCAGTGGTTCACTGGTCAAAGCAATCTTGTATAAGAAGAACGTGTATCTGAGGCTTACAGTATATCAAAATGTACCCCAAGTACACAGTAGAGGATTAGTCATCTGAAACGTACAACAAAATGTACCTGGAGCAATGTATTTTAGTTTTGCAGAAATGTAGGCTGAGGTACTTTTGTCATGATACTGGATTTCAGTAACAGTCTATTTCCCGCTAACATTTGAGCATGTTCTTAAACGGTGCTGATTTACCCTTGTGTTCACAAACTCAACAGAAATGACAGTGAAGGTCATCAGTTCAACAAACTCCCCGCTGTTTACTGAGTGTAATCAAAGATACAGGGACACTGGAGCATTTTCAAGCTGCAATTCATTATCGAATCGCTAGTAAGTCAGTTTACAGACAAACCAGCTGATCAATGTGACTTTGAAATGCTCCAGTGTCCCTGTATCTTTGATTACACTCAGTAAACAGTGGTGAGTTTGGTGAACTGATGACCTTCACGGCCAATCACAGTCATTTCTGTTGAGCATGTGAACACCATGGCAAATCAGCAGTGTTTAAGAATGTGCTTAACAGTGATCAAATGTTTACGGGAAATGGACATTTTAAAAATTTCAGTATTGATTGGTATCAAATTCCAGCATCATGACAACCCTAGGCTAAGGCATGTACTTTCAATGTGCCTGGGCAGAATAGTTGGAGAGAGTCATAGGAAAAACAAAGATGCTGTTTAAAATGCAATGTGGATTAGTGTTTGTGATATTAAATTGCACAAGCCTGTTTAAATATGAAGTCTGCATGTTCTGCATCTTTGTAGGAATGAATCACAAGGTTTCATTTAATATACATAAACTCAAGCATGTGTAAAGCTTGGTGTGTTTCCAGAATCTGTCGCCTTACTATTTGAGTACTTGATCTTATAGACATTTTGTTAACACAATTCTCCATGTCACCTCAGTATCATAACATTAAGTACACAACTCTGTCGGAATAAACATTATGTTTAATTTGAAAGTGGCAAATTAAAATTACATTTCGAATAAGAAATTATTATAGAAATATCTATGACTGATGTCCGGCAGAGTGTACTTTTCACAGTAGCAGTATTTAAATCGCAGCTTCCAAATCATATCTGTGACTACAAACAGAGAAGGATCTGAGAGTTATGCTAAATTTGGATTGTGAGAAGCTGCAATAAATGGAGAGAATGAGAGGGAAAACCAAGCGATAATGTGCTACAGTCTGGTAATGTAGCAAAATGCGATAATAGACCACCTGCAGTCTACAGAGCGCACATCCCCAGTTTGTGAAAGCAAAAACAGCGCTGTGAAGCTTCTCTCTCCGACAAGCGGGCCGCTTCCTGACCTTTTAATAGCTGAATAAGTGAGCAGTTCTAATCGTCACCTGAACATGTGCATCAGGAAAGCCCGTGCTTCATCAAGCAGTTATCAAGACGAGACAAAGAGCCAAAATACTCCCTCTCTAGGCCTTCCTTCAGCCTCTCTCTTCCCTTTTGTCAAATATATAATTGCAGGGCTGAGGAAGAGAGATATGGAGCCAGCATGTTATTTTAATGCAGTGTCAACTCCAATGAAGGTCGTGTAGTGGGAAGCGCTTCCCTGAGCAGAGAGCAATTATGGTTTTCAGCGCGCATAATCAGGCACCCACAGCAGATGGCTTTGAGAGGACGCCAACACCAGAACAGCTCTTCACCGCTCGCACACATGCGCACTCAGAGCGCCGCCAGAACCGCCATAGCGAAACACACACACGAGCACTCTTTAAAAGAATGAAAAGGCCAAAAAGGTCTCCTGATAAACACCATGCACACGCTGGAATAGTTAAGGATGCAGTAAAAGTCAAAACAAACAAAAAACAAGTTAAAAAAGTTACTATTTACATTTGTTTTGCAATCAATTAAGCATTTTTGCTTTTTAATTTGCTTCTATTTTTAACATGCAGCCTGTGTCAATCTCAGGTGGCACCACATTACACAGCTGCATGTTTATTTAGAAGACTAGCCAAGTTTGGAAACTTTCTAGGCAAGGGTTTTGGACAACAGAAGAATGTATAATTTTGTCAGAAAAATCCTAAACAAACAAACCTAAACTGATGGCAGAGTGGTGGCTCTGTGGCTAGCACTGTCGCCTCAAAGCAAGAAGGTCACTGGTTCAAGCCCAGCTGGGCTAGTTGGCATTTCTGTGTGGAGTTTGCATGTTCTCCTCTGAGTTCCCCGTTTCCCCCACAGTCCAAAGACAAGTATTATAAGTGAATTGGATTAACTAAATTGTCTGTAGTGTATGAGTTTGTGTGTGAATGAGAGTGTATGGGTGTTTCCCAGTACTGGGTTGTAGCTGGGAGCGCATCCACTGCCTAAAACATATGCTGGAATAGTTGGGGGTTTATTTCACTGTGATGACTCTCTGATAAATAAGGGACTCTGCCGAAAAGAAAATGAATGAGTGCATGAGTGTTTTTTTGGTTTTGCTGGTCTTTTTGGCCACATTTCCTGATATGAAGATGTGATTTGTCAATCTGATCACAAATATGTAAAGTGTAAATAAGGGCTAAACAATTTAAAACTTGTCCACCAGTTCGCTTTCGTAATGTAAAGACTTATGTGGTTTAATGTGTTAAAAAATGACACAGAAGACCACCTACTCTCCAATTTTGACATAGCAAGCGATTGTTGTAAGACATGTTGAGAGAAAACACTTAAAATATATACAAAAAATTACAACCAAGGCTCATTCTAAAAACATACCCCTATATACATTTCTAGAGAGTGTCAAATACGTTCCAGAAGCAACATTTTTTTTGGCAGTTTTTTTTTGTAATTCCACCAAAGGTCGTTGTATACACTTTTTGAGATCTCAAATTTCTCTTGCGAGCGCCATTCGTGCCTGCTCGTCTCGCAAAAATCAAACAGAGGTCGCTGTCTATGACTTAATGACTGACCCACCCTCCTTCCCTAAACTTAACCGACAGTGTTTTCAAAGGCACCGATTAACCCGCCCCACCAACTTGCCTAAACCAAATTTTATCTATTGGCTTCTGTTTTTTGTTTTACCTGCTTTCTGGAACCGTTCTTCACCGAACTTGAACCTCGTCGTTGTGGTAAATTCCTCTCTGCATGTCAAGTCCACCGACATATATGGCGAGCTAATTTGAAAAACGGGTAACGGCAGGAAAGCCGTCCATAAGGAGGTAAGCGGTCAGCTGTTAAGTGTGAAAAGGAACAGCGTTATACGGCCTCATAGCATTTGTTTTAAAGACGTAATGCTCCCATACGTTGTTCTAGCTACATAATTCATGATCTGCAGAAATTTATATAGGGCTATGTTTCTAGAAAGAGCCTATGCTGAAAAATTAAAAAGCACCAAAAAAGGTACGTTTACATAGAATATGTCTCATCTAAACGTGCGCAATTTAGATTCCAAAACAGTACAATTTCTGAACCAGGAGTCTGGAACCTATTAGATGGTAACTAAGCCTTAATAATCTAAAACAGCAAAAATTCTGTCGATATTTCTTATTTTAAATAATAAATAAATGTAAAAATTATTTTAGTGACATGTTATATAGTATTTTGCCCAATATCTAGGGACAGTGGAATTTTTAATACTGCAGTGAACAACAACACAGATAGTTTGAGTTAGTGAGGTTAAAAACTATTGTTTTAGAGGCATTTGGCACTGTTGTGGAATTCAGACTGGGAGACCAAATGGCCACCGAATAAATTAACCAGCATGGCCAGGCTGCAAGCCCTTCTTAAACTACACATTTTTTTCAGTGAGAAAAAACTAGAGCTATTTATAAACCTACTCCAAGCCAAAGAACTAGTTGGCTAATTGGTCTTCAAACCAGTGGTTTTTACAATTACTTCAACTGGACGTTTTCTTGTGCTAGTGGTCTTAAAAAAGTATTTTGGACATGACATTCCATCCAAGAAAAAAAAAAAAACAGCACATGACGCAACAGCTAAAGAAGTCTGTCTGAATGTGAATGGCTGTAACTTTTCTGAGAAGGTTACACCATGTGAACTGCCCAACAGCTAATCGCAGCCCAGCACGCTAATTAAATTAAACCCGTCAACCTTACGAATTGGTTGTTGGGAAACTGGCTGATTTTTTAAACATCGGCCGGCTTAAAAGCAGTGTGTTCACACATTCAAAGAAACAGATAGCATACATACGAAACAAACAATCACCTTCCCACACACAAAGACAAAAACTCATGTGTTCACAAGCACAAACTCACACATCACACCCTGGAGGACATGTTGTGTGGGATAATGAGGAACAGATTTGATATGCTGAAAGGACAGAACAAAGCAATTAGCAGTGAGGCAATGTGTTTGGAGCAGCCTGTGAGAGAGCCTGAGGGCAGGGCCACACACAGACACACCCATCTGCTCACATCTTCTCTCTCTTTCACACACACACACACACAATCATTCGCCGCACCATCACAGACAGATGCTGGAAGAACTGAATGACGAGTGAGAGGCTGAAAATAAAAGTCTGAGATGCTGGTTCTCACCTTCTCCTGCCAGTGCAGTATCCCGATGATGACGAGAATAAAGATGCACACGCCAATCAGTGCTATCGCTGTCAATAAGACTATATTACTCGGGGTTAAGTAGAGCTTTGCACTCCAGCTGCAAAGAAGCAAACAAAAACAGACACAACTGAGATCTTTTCTGAGCACTTCTTTAGGTTACAGTAAAAAAAATGTAAACAGCATTTCTGAAACATTGAAATCAAATACACATAAAGACGTTCTGTTGAGCAAAAACCTGTGTAGATCATCAAAATGGTGACACAGAGTGTAGGTTACTGAAGAAAATCTTATAGTGTTGTGTACATAAATGTGCAAGTGTTAATATGATGATTCAAATAACCTGAGAAAGCTAAATATAATCAGTCTTGACGCGCTCTCTGACAAACGGAAACATCAGGACATCAAGACGAGCCGCTTTAAATAGCAGATGGAGAGCTAGAGAGGTGGAACGCTCTCCATTTACTGGAGAGAATAGATATAGAGATTTTCTGTTTGTCAATGGTTTGAAAGCAAAACGGCAGCTGAAGGAGTCTGTGCGGGGTCTGTGGGGACTTGAGAAAATCAAGTAATCTTCTCAAATATTCATGATAAAGATTGGCGGACAGCTTCATTAGGATACATTTCAGCTGTGCTGGTAAACAGATTAAATATTGATGCCACAGAGGAAACACCTTCTTACGCTCCTGATTAAGGCCGGTGACGGATGCTGTGGCGGTGTATATCTAGCTTTAATTACATTAACGATTTTATTATAATTCACTTGTTGACTGTGGGTTTGCATCTTGGTAGATACTGGTAACAATAAATGAAGGAAGCTGTTACAACCGGCTCAAAATTGTTAGAGACAATGTGGACCAGGTTAATCGTAAAGTAAAATGATTTATTGACAAGACATAATTAACAAAGGCTATTGAGAACCAAAGTCAGAATAAATTGAAGTGTGCATGGTAGTCATGATCCAAAACAAACTAAAATAATCAAAACAACAGGCAGGATGGTCTGGCAAATCGAGTTCGCTTTACATGACACGTTTTAATGAATTTAGAGACATCCTTCTTTAGCAAAAGCCAATAAAAATGCCTCTATATATAATCAGGGTTTCTGTAGGTTTCACCAAGTTAAATTTACAGGGTTCATACACATTTTTGCTAATAAAATCCCATGACTTTTCCATGACATTCGAGTAATTCATGCAATGTCTACATATGTGTAGTAAAAGAAAAAAACAATGCATGTTGAAATTTATTACAGCATATCGTAAAACATGCAACAATCTATTCAGTTTATATTTATATCTATGTAAATTTGATTTAGATGTTGCTTACACCAAAATAATAATGTGAGAGTATGTGATTGGCCAAGGACAGAAAAAAGTAAAGACAACTAACCTATATTCAAATATACAAATATCTGTTTTCCATGACTTTTTTCAAAACTTTGTGGGTTTTTCTGTTTTCCAAAACTTTCCCAGGCTTGGAAAATGCCATGTCAAATATCCATGACTTTTCCAGGTTTTCCCTGATCGTACGAATTTAGGACTTTTTAAGACATTTTTAAGACCATTATGAATGAATTCTGAGACTTTTACAGGGCTAAATGCTAAGGATTTTATTTGAATATTCCAGTTGGAAAAGATGTTCACGTGCCCTATCAAAAAAATTATATCATTTAATCAATCAAATAATACAATAATAATATTATTAATAATAAAAAATCTAGGCCAGGTCAATATCTTTAGCAGTAAATAAATGGAGAAATTTTAAACAAATGTAACTGTAATGTAAGTAATTAAAGGCTATTTTTTAATAAGAAGTTAAATATTTTACTGAGATTGGAGTTGTTGGTGATTGGGTGTTAATGGTTGGATTGAGTAGCTATACATAAACAAAAGAAAATTAAGACCAAAAGAGAATTAAGAACAAAAAACACAATATTTCAGTATATTTAAGACTTTTTAAGGCCTCAAATTTAGCTTTTGAGATTTAAGACATTTTAAGATCCCGAAGACACACAGGTTTTGAGCAAACATTCTTTGCTCACAGTGACTCTATTTGTATAAAGTTTTCGACACATCATCATGGGAATTGTAGTTTTTCTGAACAAATTATGCTGGTTAACACAATTAAAAAAAAAAAAAAGTATGTAATTACTACATTCTATTAAACGGAATTATAAATCTACCGCTCTATGCAGGAAAGTAGAACCTGACTATTGCCACTATTAGGGACTGTTTTTTTTATTTAGTAGGGAGAACTTCAATCATTCATTCATTCATTTTCCGTCTGCTTAGTCCCTTTATTCGTCAGGGGTCGCCACAGTGGAATAAACCGCCAACTTATCCAGCATATGTTTTACACAGAGGATGCCCTTCCAGCTGCAACCCAGTACTGGGAAACATCCATACACATTTATTCACACACATACACTACGTGCCAATTTCAATTCACCTATAGCACGTCTTTGGATTTGTGGGGGAAACCGGAGCACCTGGCGGAAACCCACGCCAACATGGGAAGAACACGCAAACACTACACAGAAACGCCAACTGACCTAGCCAGAACTTGACCCAGCGACCTTCTTAAGGGAGAAATCATTCATTCTTTAATAATTAAGTAGTATTACAGAGTGGATTATTATCTTACTAGGCAAGATATTTTTCCAATAATAGCTTAAACTTGACTACAGATCTGCTATTGACTGCCTATGTGTTAGTGTGTGTGTGTTTACCTGCGAGGTTCATTTTGTGGATATGGTATAACGATGAGCTGGGAGTTAGGAATAATAGCAGTCCACTCCTGCTTCCTCACATCCTGCAAGAGAAAAACAAGAAAGAAGAGACAGAATATTAGCATAGTTACCATTACAAAAATAATAGCAGATTCAATTTCTGCAGTTGTCCTTTAGCAAAAAACGCACTAGCACTGACGTGCCTCTGTGGAGGATGGAGGGGATCTGGAGAAGATTGTATTATTGTATAATTGAACAGTGTTGGGGTGGGGGGTCTTAAAGGAGGAGAGGGCATGTTAAACACATGTCTATCTTTAGCAAACATTAAACACATAATAGCTGAAACAGCACTGCAACATCTCTCCCACTCAATCTGGCCCACATTTACACTGTTTAACTAAAGCACTGTGAGCTAGAAGAAGAGCTACGCTGCAGGTGCCGATATTCTCAGCGTGAAGTGAAGCTTCAGTGCTATTACTGAAGAGAGCAGGAGCGATGAGTCCAATCAGACATTTCAGCATCACTTTAAAGTGCAGATGAGTAGGTGGAGGAGCCATTTGCAGGCAGGTGATCAAAGCAGCACAAAACAAGTTTTAAAAATATCTGTAAAGTTCAACTCGGTTACTTCAAACTGGCCCGATTCACTCCTTTAGCCGCTAACCCCGTGTGATTCTGTGTATGATGTTCACTTCAAATGCTCTGCTCAGGCCTATCGCACTGCTAATTTGTTAAACATTTACTCTGCTCTCGGAGAGACTGTAATAAAAATCAAGCCCTGACGGCACTTAAAAAAAACAACAACGGCAGAGAGTGTTCCAGAAGTCGTTCAGTGAGAGAAAACGCCATCATTTTCAGTGCATCGTGCAATTAATAAGCCTCCAAACATTAAGCAGCATCAAAAGTGGTCTATTCCCCCAGCTATTTGCAAAAAAAAAGTTCATTAGTGGAAGGGAAGTCTCTGGAAGCTTTAATGTATTATGAAGACAGTACCTCTATCAATTACAAAGGTAATTTTCCCTCTTCAACTCGTTTCTCGACGGCAATTAGGGGCAAACATTAAATCCGTCTTTTTAAGGGAATCCTCCAGGGGGACAGATTTTAATTTCCGACAACACATTTATCATAACTCTACATTACGCTATCATGCGCTGCTGAGGAAGAGTGTGAGGTCTGAAATGGCTATTTTTAGCATGCGTGTTGAGCGAGTATGGATGAGGTTTGCAAATGAAAGGGACGGGATGGTATTTGGTCTCCCTGTGGGGAGTCGAGTCACTGCCCACTGCGGAGGTCAACCGTGGGCACCGGCAGAAACACAAAGATTTGTTACTGTCAAAGACCCTCTCCTGCCTCTGAGCATTAGAGAGAGAGAGGACGACTCAAGCCCACGCGCTTCAGGGTTACGCTAACTGACAGGCCCTGGCCTTATGCTTATGCAACAGAGAAAACTCCACAGGGCTCTTTTTAAATATAGTACTGAGATTTTGCAAATTTAATGATATGAGATGGAATGACGTTATTTAAGAATGCAACTTTTCAATCTCTGAGAAAAAAACACATTTCATTGCTTGCACTGAATTCTCAATGCAAGTTTGATAGCTGTTAGATGAAAATAAACCACTAATTGCTTCAGGATATTTTAAGTAACACTATTACTCTTACTGTACAGCTTCCTTATTACAGTCTAAATACAGCTAAACCTAAAGTCTGCTTTGACTTTTTATTCATGCACCAGCATATGTGTCCATAAGGCATAGCCTTTCAAAATATCCTCCATTTGATAGTGTGCATGCAGAGGCGGATTTATCCAATAAGCGAGGTAAGTGGCCCAATGAATGCCTAAAAGTATAAATTATACATACACTATAAAACCCAAAAAGTTAACTTGAGCAAAAAAAAAAAAAAAAAAAAGGAATCTATATGAGTACTGCGAACTAACTAACTTGAAGTAATGAGTAGGGCCAGACGGAATCTGTGGACGTTTTTGCAATTTCTGCAGAGAATTTTAGTAAAAATCTGTATATTTTTGCAGAATCATTTTGGGAGTATCATAACTAAAACCTCAATATGTGAAACAAAAAATGCTATCTTTTTAACTTTTATTTAATGTTTAAAATGTAAATCCAATTAGATTCACTTTATTTGGTAAACAAAGCAAGTCTGTCATATAACACACCTACTAAAAGACAGAAAATATTACTTTACACACTGCATTGTACATAAATCAGATGAACATTTTCATTTAGACAATAATATTACTGTAATTAATTTAAAAACTTTATAAATATAGATTTACACAAATTTACTCAAAGTAACAATTTGTAATAAGCAGTAATAAATAAACAGAATTAATGATAGGCTAACAATCAGTTAAAGATTAAGTTTTAGTTTATTGTTTATTATTTGTGAATTTATTTTAAGCAAACAAATAATTTAAAAAGTAGAGATTGCATTAGGATAAAAGACAGAAAAGAAGAGAGAGTAAAAAAAAAACACCAGCATAAATAAATAGGAAATAAATAAAAGGACAATCAATAAATCAATATATCTGCCCTTGTGTGCATGAACAAACGAAAGGAGCTCAACACACTCTAAAAATTGCAATTGTATTAACTCAGAGTTGAGTCGAATATGAACAAACCCAAAAGTTGAATAAAAAGGTAATTCAAATTTAATTGAAAAAAGTAACCCAGAGGTTGGATTTGTCCACCACCCAAGGTTGAGTTAAAACAACCCAGTATTTTTTACCACAGACTTACACTGTAAAAACATATCTGTATATTAGCAGTTTTCCATAATTTGTGATTCATGTTTTATTTATTAATGCTTTAGAATTGCATTCTGAGACCTTGATCTTTCTTTCAAAAATGTTTAACCTTGAAAAATTCCAAAAGTGACTTATTAGCATTTTAAATAGCTAAGTGAAATATTCTCTGGGTTGGTTTTGTATATTAAGGTCACAAAAACCTTGAAATAAACCACCAGTACATTTTCTGTTATTTTACAGACTTATTTCTCTATATGTTTTCTTATATAGTTTATTATTTCAAACGACTAAAATGTCAATGAAAGTTAAACCGCAGAGATGAATTTTCAACATCAAAAGTAGAACAGAGATCAAGGTCCCATGATCCAATTCACAACAGTAAACAAATGGAAAACACTTGCGAATCACAAAATAAGGAAACTGTTAAATAACAGATTTAAGTACGGTGTACACTAGAAAGATTTATTCTTGTCCAGTGTCTGTGCATTTTCATCCAATGCTTTTACTGTTTTTTAAGTTAGGGTTGCTATAATACATTGTTATAGAGAGATATATACAGTAGAAGTCAGAATTATTAATCCTCCTTCATTCATTTATTTTTTCTTTTTTAAAATATTTCCCAAATGATGTTTAACAGAGCAAGGAAATTTTAACAGTATGTCTGATTATATTCTTTCTTCTGGAGAAAGTCTTGTTTGTTTTATTTAGTAAAAGCAGTTTATAATATTGTAAACAGCACTTTAAGGACAAAATTATTAGCTTCTTTAAGCTATATTTTTTTCAATAGTCTACAGAACAAACCATCATTATACAATAACTTGCCTAATTACCCTAACTTGCCTAGTTAACCTAATTAACCTAGTTAAGCCTTTAAATGTCACTTTAAGCTGTATAAAAGTGTCTTAAAAATATTTAGTAAAATTTTATTTACTGTCATCATGGCAAAGATAATATAAATCAGTCATTAGAAATTAGTTCTTAAAACTATTATGTTTAGAAATGCGTGGAAAAAAATATTCTCCCCATTAAACAGAAAATGGGGGAAAATAAACAGTGGGGCTAATAAAATATTAATTCCTTTTAATATTTTAAGCAGCATAATGACACTTTCAACATTCTCATGCATTATCAGTCTATGTGTTTCTGTCAAAATTATGCAAACCTCATCTACTTACCATTGCTGTGTTATTTTGACAACCAATTAATTGAACCATATAATGCATTAAAGTGGCAGGCCTATTGAAAACAACACAGATTTGGGCCACATTATTTGCCTTCAGTGTGAAAATCGTCTTTCAGTCAACAAAATGTCTAAATGAAACCATCAAAATTAATTTATAATTACATAAATAAGATCTGAGTATTATTAAACACATATTAAATGGTTAGGATTAGGGTCTGACTGCTTGTAAAAAAGTAAATGTTAGTTAAATACATGTGCAGTTCAATACTATTAAGTTTTATTAGTAGATGTAACATAGATATAAAAAACAGGCACACATTTATTTTTTTACAAGCTCCTCAATAAATGAAGCTTTGTTTCTTTGTTGTTCCATTTGGACCAATGTGTTATTCTAGAATCTGTTATTCTGACATGATAACTTGGGTTGTTGAGAGATTAGAGATGTGAAAACGATAGAGAAGACTGAGCCGCTTTCCCTTCTCCACACGAGCTCGGAGAGTTCAGCAGTCAGCAGGAACTGGAGGTGTGCTCTATGGAAACATTCATCTGTGTCAGAAAAACTACCACATATGCAGAGCCGCTCTGAGGAAACTCTCTCTCTCATTCCCTTCAGAGCTTTTGTATCACGCAAATAAAATGACTCTCGGCCAGCTAAAAATAAACTGTGTTAAAATTGATATGCAATTAATCACACATAATGATTTGTTAAGAAAAACCCCCAAATGAAGGCAGGGTTTAATGTTGTAGATGAGTATATCAAATAAAGAGCATCTTTACAACTGAACACCTACAGTAGTGTTATTTCTTTCAGCCGTTGTTTCGTTTTTTCAGTGTCTTGCATCATGATGGTTGCATTTTAACACCTTGTCAGGTTAAAAACAGTTCGGCTTTAAAAAATCATGCCTCAAAAACTCTTGGTGTGCTCTAATCCAGTTTAGCGCTTCATCCAGCTGTTTTCTTTACAGACTAAGTGAATAGTTCTCAGTGGTAAGGTGTTTTGGCTGTAGTAGCATTCAGAAGGCATAATTAAAAGTGCATTTTTTACTCTGTTATTTTAAAAAAAGGATTAATCGTACTAAATGAACATGTTAAATCGACAGCAATGATAAAAACACAACACAGCAAATTGCTGTTCATGAGGCTTGCTCATGTGTTAATGTGAATGTGCGTATGCATGTGTTCATGTGTAAGTGTGTGTTGGTAAATCAAATCTGCAATTCTAATCAGTGTTTGATAAAGACCTCTGTTTAGCTCACTGACGGCAGAGGAAGCCGACGTCTTAAATTTAAATGAGCAGCACTAAGGGAATTCAAGAGCAGGGAGTCATTTCAAATTGCACTTCTTCAGCTAAAACCAGACAGAAACAGAACGCTACGAAGAAAACACCATGATCATTTAAAAACTTGGGGAGGATGGGGAGATGTCAGTGCCGTCTTGCATATATCTCTCCATAATCAGGCCAAAATAAGGAATATTTATGACATTTTTGCAGAAATTATATTATGTTGCTTCGTGCATATTTCACTGCAGTTTCAAAGTGAAATGTCAAGTGGGAAATGCTAAAAGAGGTGTTAAATTTTCTCGGAAACAGATAAATGTGACTGTGGCAATGTTTTATTACACCCTTTCATGCAAGTATTTCCACAGCTATGGAGATCACATGGCCAATGAATGGCACTAGAATGTTCATGCTTTATCGTGTTTAAAATTGACATGCCTGATGAAACTAACCAATAAAGAAAGAGTTATAGAAAAGAAAATGCATGCTGAAGCAAAGTACACATGGAAAGCGATACATATGGAGACAGACATGTGACTGAAACTAAAAGACAATGATGTGCCAACTATACCTAACCACACAAGTGGGAGCAATCTTTTGTATTGAGTGTTGTTCACTATTGATTTGTGTGTTATTACAGAATGTTTGTTATGAACTCAATTCTTACACATTTTTAAATTAAAAATCTTTAGGGCGTCTGTCTATGAAAGATGTGGGTTGTCAAACATACAGTTAGGTCTATAAATATGTGAACATAATTCTAACATTATTGGCTCTATACTCCAACAAAATGGATTCAAAATGAAGCAAACAAGATGTGCTTTAAATGCAGACTGTCAGCTTTAATTTGAGGGTATTTACATCCAAATCAGGTGAACGCTCTGGGAATTAAAAAAGGTTGCACATGTGCCTCCAACTTGTTAAGGGACCAAAAGTAATTAGACATTTGGCTTCTAAGCTGTTCCATGGCCAGGTCTGTGTTATTCCCTCATCATCCCAATTACAATGAGCAGATAAAAGGTCCAGAGTTCCCTTCAAATGTGCTATTTGCATTTGGAATCTGTTATTGTCAACTTTCAAGAGGAGATCTAAAATGCTGTCACTATCAGTCAAGCAAGCCATCATTAGGCTGAAAAAAACAAAACAAACCCATCAGAGAGATAGCAACAACCTTAGCTGTGGCCAAAACAACTGTATCATCTTAAAATGAAAGAACACGCCAGTGAGCTCAGCAACACCAAAAGACCCGGAAGACCATGGAAACAACTGTGGTGGATGACCAAAGAATTCTTTCCCTGGTGAAGATGATACCCTTCACAACAGTTGGCCAGATCAAAAACACTCTCCAGGAGGTAGGTGTATGTGTGTCAGAGTCAACTATCAAGAGAAAAAGAAAACACCACAGTGAATGAGTTCACCACAAGATGTAAACCATTGGTGAGCCTCAAAAACAGGAAGGCCAGATTAGAGTTCTAAAAAAGCCTTCACAGTGCTGGAACAACATCGTATGGACAGATAAGATCAAGATCAACTTGTACCAGAGTGTTGGAAAGAAAAGAGTAAGGAGAAGGAAAGGAACTGCTCATGATTTTAAGTAGTGAAGCATGATGGTGGTAGTGTCATGGCATGTGCTTGTATGCTTGTCAATGGAACTGGCTCACTTGTATTTATGGATGATGTGACTGCTGACAAAAGCAGTGGGATGAATTCGCTTCACAGTGCAGATAGAGAATGACCCAAAGCATACTGCAAAAGAAACCCAAGAGTTTTTGAAGGGAAAGAAGTAGAATGTTATGCAATGGCCAAGTCAATCACCTGATTTGAATCTGATTAAGCATGCATTTCACTTTCTGAAGACAAAACTGAAGGGGAAATGCCCCAAGAACAAGTAGGAACTGAAGACAGTTGCTTTCGCGGCCTGACAGAGCATCACCAGGAATGAAACCCAGTGTCTGGTGATATCTAAGCGTTCCAGACTGTAACTGACTGCAAAGAATTTGCAACCAAGTATTAAAAAGTGAAAGTTTGATTTATGATTATCATTCTGTCCAATTACTTTTAGACCCTTAACAAGTGTGAGGTACAAATACAAACTGTTGAAATTCCTACAGCGTTCATCTGATTTGGATGTAAATATCCTCAAATTAAAGCTGACAGTTTGTAGTTAAAACTCATCTTGGTCGTTTTATTTTAAATTGAATTGTGTTGGTGTATAGAGCCAAAAATGTTACAATTTTGTCGATGTCTAAATATTTATGGACTTAACTGTATAATTATTACGCAGTTATTATATATATATATATATATATATATATATATATATATATATATATATATATATATATATATAAACTGCACAACGCTGTTCCTTTGGCTACTTTGGGACTGTTGAAACAAGTATTGTTAGCTAACTGTTAGCCAGTCATACCAATGGTACATGTACTTTTGTGAGGAGTGTAAAAACGATAGAAAACGACTCATTACATTAAAATTATGTTTTTTTTATGAATGTAAAATTAAGTGGACCTCAGACAACATTACACAACTAAAAAACAGGCAGTTCATGAACTCTTTAAGGTATGTAGAATGTATGTGTATATGGTGTTGCTGCAAGTTAAGAAAACGTGCAAATAAAGAAACACTTAACAACTAGACTGAGCATCTTCATCAGTTTGACAACACACAAGAACGCAAATTCTCATAAAACTTGCAAACATAAAAACACACTGCTAATAAATCAGATCACAACAGATACAGTATACATTGGGGGACAGCAAAAACGTGATGAACCTGACTGTTTCCTTTTATTTACAGAGCTATTGTTGGAGATCTGAGAAGTGAGTTTTTGTTTATTTTTAGTTCAAGAGTAGTTCCTAATAACATGACATTTCATATAACATTATTGTGCAGTTCGTCAGATTATTAGGGCTAAAAATACACAAACAGCAAGGAACTGTACTATCAGTACGAAAAAAAAAGACTCATAGATCTCTAAACAGGAAGCAACCGTGTTTGTCACTTTCTTTTCTGCGACACATTTCCATTGTGGTCTGCGCTATTTGCAGCATGTTTATATATTTGCATGTCTTGTGAGAATGTGTGTAGTGTCAAATTGATGAGAATGTTTTTCTTGATTAACTTGATTTATCTTAGCCACCGTAGTATACAGCTAATATGCAAACTAATAAGAAACTTATACATGCCTATCATTATGATTTAACAAACTGTTTTTAACAGACAACAAAGAATTGTTCCAGGAACCGGAAGGATATAACTAATAATCTTTTATGTAATCATAAATGGAATGATAAGTTTGCTGGTGTTTTTCTACCTCTAGAGTTAATTTGGACTAAAAACTGTAGTGAATTGTATATATATGGTTTAGTTTGAGGCCTGATTTTCTAACAAGCCTGGGTTGATCTAGAGTGTCAGACACAATGTTTCCTGTCTCAGACTCAGGACAGGAGCAGGTAGAAATAAACCAGGCCATCTGCATGCTCATCCTCTCCCGGGGCCTTTCTACCCATGAATCCTCCCACCTCCCTCCATATGGCGAGTGTCTGTGAGCGTGTGTGAGAAGGTATGTCTGTACCTTCCCTCCAGGGGGCCGGGGGATGCCCACAAACAGGTGATCCAGGAAGTTGGCGCTGCGCCCCAGACCGAGCACGGTGTAGGGCAGCTGGAGAGCCAGATGAGCAGACTGGCTGAGCTGCCCCGCTGCAGAGACAAACAGAGAAAAAAAATGACATGTAGCATGTAATTGTAGGAGCCAAACTGTATGAGTGGGATGCGGAATGGAGGAGTGAAAGGTAAAAGAGAGTCGAGTATACAGCCGAGTACAAGGAGGAGAGAACCGTAAGGAGGAAAACAGAACAGGTGAGGGAGGACAAGATGAAAGAGGAGAAAACAGAAGAATTAGAGTCATCCATAAATAAGGCTTGTTGTTATAAGCTTTCTCAGCATATGCAGAACTTAATTATGTACATATGAAGAGTTAATTATACTCATTTGAAAAGAGTTTTAAACACAGTGTTGTAGGTAATAATTTAATTAAATACTGTACCTCATTACTTCAACTTAAATGGAGTAAGCTCACACTACTCATATAGATTTTTTTACTCAAATGGTTTGTAGCAATTGGGTTTTACAGGACTCCGTTAGTTTAAGTTCTCTTCATTTATTGGGTTTTACTGTGCTCAATTTGCTTAATTTACTCAAATGTATTAAGTTCACAGTAGTAGTTAGGATTAGTTTTTGTTTTGTTGAGGTTGAGGTTTGTCTTAGATACATATAAATGAATATGAGTGATAACAGTTCATAAAGGGTTATATAAAGATATTTGGTAACACTTTAGTATGAGCACTAACTTTCACTTTTAACTACACAAAAAAATCTGTTAAATAAAAAGTCTCTGTGTTTTGTGATTTTAGTATATTTACTGTTGTGAATTGCATTATGGAACCTGGATTTCTGCTCTGTTGAATTTTGATCTAGAAAATATGACTATACAGTTGACTTTTACTGACATTTTAGTAGTTTGAAATAATATAATGTTGAAGAAATAATATGCAGAGAAATAAATCGGGGTAATAATAGAAAATGTACTAGCAGCTTATTACAAGGATTTTGTACCGTAATATGAAGTAAAACACCAACCCAGATAATATATCACTTTAACACAATGGTCTCAAACTCAATTCATGGACGGCTGCAGCTCTGCGTAGTTTAGCTCCAACCACCTAGTTGTGTTGATTAGTTTGATCAGTTGTGTTTGATTAGGGTTGAAGCAAAACTGTGCAGAGCTGCGGTCCTCCAGCAATCCAGTTTGAGACCTATTAAAAATGTCAATAAAAGTCGCTTTTTAAAACTTTATTTATGGTAGTAAAAACTACAAAAAGATCAAGGTCTCATAATGCAATTGAAAAACATAACTAAATGGGGACGCACAAAAATTAGAAACATGAATCACAATATATGGAAAATTAATCATTAATAATTTACGGATATTTACTTACTATAAAAAGCATTCTTCTACGTGACTATATTCTACACCCCTTAATCTTATCACATTTTAAAACTTAACCACAACCACTATACTAAATAGGGGTGTCAAAATTAATTGTTTTTTTTTTTTGGGTGCACCGCGATGCAGACGCGGACAATTCGGTGTCGGTTCAGTAATAATCATAACTGGTTATTATGTACTGAAGTCATTTATCTCATATGCGCTATGTCACCGTAGCTTACTATGGCGAGGGAGCCAAGCGCGAGTATTTACAATGCTCCAACTTCTTAAAAACACAGAAACTGGACAATTTGACTGCGTGTGTGTTTGCTGGTCTTTCACTGACACTTATACCAGAAGCCCCTATTTCACTGCGACTGAGAGAATGAAAGTAAACTCCATTTCTCTCTCTCTTAATGTGGCCCATTTGACCTGCTGGCATGACTTTTCCTCTCTACTCGGCTGTTACATAGATACTTCTAGATACAGACACGAGCGCGTGTCAGCAGAGCTTTCTCCACCGTGTGAAGAAAGGATCAGCTGTAATTGCCGCTGCCGTTTATCAGTGTCAGTCATCTGTGAAGAGTGCCAGCACGTAAGAGCCAATCGCAGCCCTTTCTGTTGAGCGCGTGACCAATCAAATGGAATGTAAAAAAAGAACTTGCTAGACAGGGCTCAGAAAGCGAGTGGAATATTTAGATTTGTTTATTTGCTATTAGTGCTCGTGTTGTTTAAAGGTACAGCTTATATATATGGTTGTATTAAAGGACAAGATTGTATTACAAATAGTTTATAAATATATTTATACATTTTAATACAAGAATTGCTGTGCTGTGTAGAAAATATCAAATTGTGCTTGGAAAGCATCGTCAGTGCATTGTGATATCGAATTGAAGGCATGATAATCGCAAATAAACCGTGAGACCAGTGTAGGTTCACACTTCTAATACTAAATACTATGAAGCAGTAAATAAGGAGTTTCATGAGGTAAAATTTGTAGTTAATAGTAAACATGATCCCCACGCTAAAGTATTACTATATACATTTCTCACAAAACCTCGTCACTTCAGCAGACATTTATTATCCCACTGAAGTATAAATTAGTTTTATGGAGGGATGCATTTTTTTAGGTTTCAAAAAGAAGAATCAGAATATGTTTAACATTATTTTAACACAACTGCTCCTTTTATCACTAACCTGTCCCTATCTTGCTACATGTATTTTTAAAGCTACAGTATAATCAGCAAATTGGTTCCTAAAATCTCATTTTTAATGATTCTGGATGCAGAAGGATGCTTAAACTGAATCTGAACTAACTGATGGAGCACTTTATGCGTGTCCTGCTGAAGCGAGTGCTCACAGTCCCCGACCGGGGAAAGGTCAGTCCATTGCTCATGTGTCATGTGTCCGGCTTAATGATGCCATTAAAGAGAAGAACAATTAGATGTGTATAAGCTGATTTCCCATTACACATCAGAGAGAAAAGAAAGAGAGAGAGGCAGAACAAGGGTGTCCTAATAACTTCCCTCTTGGCACATAATAGCGGTCCAGGAATTCTGGATGCAGACTGAGGATCAATTAGACTGATGGAAAAAGGAGAGTGAGTCTTGCTGACCAGGAAAAGAACTTCAGCTCATATAATACAAAACATGAATGATATCATAGTCTTGCTCTAGTGGTGAAACACATAATGCTGTTTTTTTCATCTGCAGTATATTTTCCATTATCAATTAGTTAGTGTGTTAGTCAGTGAACTGCTTAATGTTTGAATTGTTTTTTAAAATAGTTTTTAAAAGGACTCTTTTAAGAAATTATGAAAAAGTAAAGGTGTCATAGAATGGTATGTGGCTGGTATGTATTAGTTGAAAATTATTATTATTATTATTTTTTAATGAAATTACCCCTAGAAAAGAGAGCTCCATTTTAACCATATTTGGAATGGTCATTGGAATATTGTAATATCAAGGATCTCTGCTCCAACACTTCCCGGTTAATCAGATCTTGCTCTCTCTCTCTCATACACGCATACATACGCACACACACAAATGTGTTTCAAATAATCATACTTCATTTGCCAACAAAATATTTTAAGAAACTAATCAGATGGCTTGCATAAGAGAGGTTTAATTCAATTCAATTCAGCTTTATTTGTATAGCGCTTTTAAAATGTAGATTGTGTCAAAGCTGCTTCACATAAATGGTCATAGTAACTGGAACAGTGTAGTTCAGTTTTTAGTGTTTAAGTTCAGTTCAGTTCAGTTCAGTTTAGCTCGGTTCAGTGTGATTTAATCATTACTGAGAGTTCAAACACTGAAGAGCACATTCATCGATGCGTAGCTCTACCAATCCTGAACCATGCGAGCCAGTGGCGACAGCGGAGAGGGAAAAAAAAAACTTCACCTGATGGGAGTGAAGAAAAAAAACCTTGAGAGAACCAGACTCAGTTCGGCACGACCATTTTAATTTCTCCGCTGGCCAAAAGTCTTGTGCAGAGCTTCAGTCACCGTTTAAGTCTGGTATACACGTTGAGTGATCAGCGGGATGCACGCCGCCTGCCTTGCAAGTAGCCGTGCATTTATACTTCTGCATGCTGATTGTGTTGCTCTGCAATAACACTTCCGAAGCGCTAGCTGGCAGTGAGGTTTTTATGTTCCTCTGTGTCTTGCTTCTTGCAGGTGTTTTGCTATTTCTGAACGCAACCTTAATGTACAAGTAGCTAAAACTCGCTCATTCAGAGGCAGGAACCGGCGAATGCGTAACAAATTTGATCAAACACACAAAAAAAAAAAATCCATCTGGAGCTCCTTCATGGGACTTGACACTTGTAAACACTGGCTAGTGTACGTGTAGTTCGTTTTTTAAAAGAGGTGCGCATCAGCGTCGGTATTAGCCATGGCGACCATGACAAGGCTGCACCGGAACACACACATGCACTTGACGCAGAAGTATAAATCAGCATTTACTGTATTTTAGCTAAAAGGAGTGAGTGAGATATCTTTATGCCACCAGTGTAACCTATTTTGTCGTTGTTATGTAACCTAAGCTGTGTTGCAGATGAAACATAAGCTAAATTAGAATTACATTTTGATAAATAAGTGTAATATAATACGTTTACTATAAGGTTAGGTGAATTCAAATATAATGGTGAAAATGTTGTAATCTCACTAAAAAAAATGTCCAATCACACAGAGCCTGGGAGATTTTACATTCATAGGATTTACATAAGAACAAGAAAACAATCTTAATAAAGGCTCATGGACTGTCATTTCCATGTATTGAACCCTTATTTTTATGCATAAGTATATGCAGATATGCAAACTTTTATTATATGGCACCTCTAAAGCCACACTTTTTATAGACCATTTCTCTGCGTGAGGTTTTAAAACCCCATTATGGGTGATGTAAAGAACATAATTTATTAATCTGCCTTTAGATTGTATTTTATTTATAATAAAACCAAAAACAATTATGAATTCTATATTAAAATATTATCTTAATTTATATTTGAAAAAAACTTAGATTTTCCACAGGCCCTGTAACACCTTTATGTCCCCAAACCCAGAATGAAAACCTCTCATATATAATGTTGTTTGGCAACATCCACAAAACAAAAGAGGATTGAGATTCAGCTAGTCAAGCACAAGGTGCAGGACAACCTAATAGAGCTGTAGCTCACCTCCTACACATGCACACACGCACACACACCTACACC